ATATAAAGAATAATAGACATCTAATATGTGCAATATTAGACACCCATTAAATGTCCACTTGAATAAAGCTTATGAAGTAAGGATGTCTTTGAGTTACTTACTCTGAAAAATAATCCATAAACTGTTGAGGATTTTCTGAAGCCAGCAATAGTTGTCTCTGATGAGATTCTGACATACAGTGACATTTAAATCCATTCTACAAAAAAAAAAAAAAAAAAGAAAAAGAAAAAATTTGTAGTGAAAATTCTGATGCATATCAACAAAGTGGACTTTTAAGTCCTAAAAAATCTGTTTTTCAGTGATAAATTGTGAAAAATTTGTCCCTAACAACAATCACCCTCTGTTTTTTTCTTTATTTATACTTTTTATGGAGAATTTTCCAAATGTGGTAACCAAAGGATAATCTCTGAGATTAAAGAAACTGAAAACCAGTGCTATATTAATAATATTAATAACAAACATTACAAGACACAGTAACAGAACTATTTTCCTTTTTTTATTTTTGCGAAACTGGGGGTTGAACTCAGGCCCTTGTGCTTGCCAGGGAAGCGCTTATTCCACTGAGCCATCTCCCTGGCCCCTATTTTCCTTTTTGGACTCAACCAATTCTTACTTAGGCACCTACTTCATAGAGCGTGTTATACACATGCTTCTGGGTTTGTTTTGGGAAGCTACAGGAAGATTCACCACTTTTTAGCAGGTTCCAGGTGGGTCTCACCAGAACCTGAACCACAGGCAGCCCTGAACCCTGGGAATTTGTCTCCAAAATATGCAGAAGTTAGCAGCCTGAGTGCTAAATGCAGGGTGAAAACCTCAAGTGCAAACCATGGAAGTTGGGGCACACTCCTGCTGGTGTGTCAGCTGACACCACTTGGTACTCTGTAGTTACAACAGGAAGGTGCCTCTAATGAGCTGAACAATGCCTTAATGTAAAACTTTGTTTCAAACTATAAACAAGTGCAAAAGAAACATGAAATGTTCACGTAAGTTTATGGTGCTTTGCAGGGACCAGGAAGACAGTTTACAAGCGGTTTCTATGATGTTGTAAGAGTTTGTAAATCTGCTAACAGGGAGCAAATAGGGTCCTTAAACTTCAAAACCCGAGAGATGCTAAAAGAGAAAGCAAAATGATTCGATCAAATAATCCACTATTAGGAAAATTCCTGAGGGTCTGAACATCTTTTATGGTACTGTCCAAAGCACTTTACGTACATATTTGAACATGAGGTGAGAAAGTACAGAATGTGTGCATACACCACTACAGGAATTAGAGCAGGAAAACAGCACTGGTGGTGACAGGGCCCTGTGGCAGATGCTCCATGGACCCTTTTCATTTAACTCTTACATCTCTGATGAATGTACTGTTTTACCACGTTGAAGATGAAGAAATGGTCAGATGGCAGCTTGGTTTTTCTACCCATGAATAGCCCTGCACAAGGAGCCTCACATATGTAATTGTGGCTGAGTAATGTGATCCCTTAAAGAGACTTGTCTTAACTTTTGTTGCTGAGACAAAATACCAGACACCCCAAGTTAAACAGAGAAAGGTTTATTTAGCTCATAGTTTGCTAAGGTTTCAGGTCATAATCAGCTGGTTCCATAGCAGGGTGGCTTGGCAGAAGGGCAATGTCGAAGAGAACTGGTGCATGGTAAGCAGAAGATAGCAAAAGCAAGCAAGAAAGGGGAACCTCAGAGCATTTTATAATCTATCTAGGCTACTGGGATTAGGGCAGTGCCAAACCAATCAGTGGACAGATTTTGTTATCACGTATCTTTAATTCCAGCATCATATACTCTGGATTCAGCCACCTCTGAAAAAAAATCACACCTATGACCACATGTGGCTTTGGGAGGGACATCTAGACACAATGTGTCCTTTATAACAGTTAAAAAAAGATTTTTTTTAAAAAAACAGATTAGGCCAGTTTGGGGTGTGCAGGGAGAAAAACCACAGAGCTTGTTAAGAACATAAGCTCCTCGGAGTATTTAATTATATTGAACCTAGTTTCCCAAAATCTGGCACAAAAGGTGCATCTGTCAGCATATGGATTTTATAAATGTATGTAGTACAATATAAAAAAAGGATTTAAAGGACATAATTATGTAACGTTATTAAGACATATAAGTAGCAAAAGTGATGGTTTCCATGTAGGAAGAAATTTGACAATCTGGGAAGATGCTCAGAAACCACTACAAATTATTTCCTTGTACTTAAGTCTGCATGCAAACATGCCGAGATTTTTTTTATTAGCTTGTAAGTCAACTACAAATAATTCATTTTCCAGAAACTTTAAATAAAGCCATTTCAAAAA